AGAAGATAGATCTACACCCACTATCCTGCCAGGTAGGCAGAAAATGATGATACCCTTTCCTGAATGGAGCTTTGGATATGGACCTGGAATCTGAGGTTGTTAAGAAAGCAACAAATGGCCAACCTATGGTTGTGCTTGTAAAACTGTACAGGGAAATTCAGTACTATGGCACAAGGGGCACTTCAGCGCTATCTAAGCCCAAGTCACCCTCTAAAGTCACTGCCTCGATTGGATCATTCAGGAAAACTACAGAAGTAGACCATGAAGGGAAGGGATATTATACATTCAGTATCTGTGCAGGCCATTTCAGCAACCTCTATGACTGCTGGTTGGACCAAATGGAAACCCTCTGAATTACTGAAACCATCCAATTATATTATCAATGTAACGGTGTACACCAGTGCCCTGAGGAAGGAAAGCATTTTTCAGATCTCTGCCCACCATATGGCAATATGAAGGAGAATTCAAGTACACCTGGGGAAAGATGGTAAAGGTATATTGGATTTCCTCCCAAGTGAAAGCACATCGCTCTTGACTAGTCTCATTCTTGGAATGGGGGAAAAATGGACAGAGTTGATAACACCATACTTTTTGCCCTGGGCCTGGGCCTACCTGGTATACAACACTGACAAGATCAGGACAACTGCAGAAATGGGCATGATGACTTTGTTCAACTCTGTAGCAGACTGTAACCTGCCAGGCGACATCTTCCTTTCTCACAAGGTAACACAAGAGTTTTTGTTAAGGGGAGCTGATATGATGAGGTCTAAAACTAGAGTAGAAAGATCTTTCATATTCCTTTCTCCCCTTCCCCTATACTGGAGCCCAATATTGTATGGCCTAGAGGGAGTGGGGCCAAGTGAACTGGCTCTTGCCAATGAGTGAGGTATGTGATAACTACTTAAAAGACTACACTTTTCATTCACGATTCCTGTGTAATCTTGTAACTGGGAAAAATCACCCATGTGTTTCCCTCTGTGCAAGAGAAGACAGAATGCAAATAAATAAATAGATAAATGAATGAATGAATGAATGAATGAATGAATGAATGAATGAATGAATAAATGTGCATTACAGACTGATGTCTTTACTTTGCTGCTCTGTTCTCAGTTAGAATGTATTTCTTTTATCCCTTGTTTATATAAATCCTAACTGTTCTTAAAGACCACATTCATGTCCTACCACCTACATGAAAATTTCTCCTGCTTTCACTGTTCTCTAACTTGTGGAGCAAAGAGCCTGAAACATACAAATCATCAGTAATTTCTGTAGAGTCTTGAACTATTCACTATCATTTTATAAGTATTAGTCTTCTCTTCTCCACAAGACTGTAAACTCTACTGTATTGGGCGGGTAAAACTTTTTCCATTACTCTCCAGCTTGTCAGATACATTCTTCTATTGCTATAATTTATTTTAAAAAATCAACAGTATCTTTCAGTTTTACATTAGTTCCACTTCAAAATATATTCCTCAGTGTCATACTAATCACATTACCAAAGAATTACTTTATAGTCAGAAGAAAATAATGACAAAATTCATCTGGAGCAATAGAAGGTCAATAATCACAAGGGAAATAATGGGAAAAAATGGGAAGGAAGGCATCCTAGTAGTACCAGACCTCACACTATACTACAAAAACAGTGATCATCAAGACAACTTAGTAATGGTTAAGAAAGAGAGTTTGATCAGTGAAGAAGATCAGGAATACTATTTACAGAAGCAAAAGAACATAGTAGCCTAATATTTAATAAACCCAAAGACTTCGGTTATTGGGATAAAGACTCATTATCAACAAAAACTACTGGAAAAAAGTGGAAAGCAGGCTCACAGAAATTAGGTACAGACCAACATCTCACACTGTTTACCAATATTAGCTCCAAATAGGAACCTGACTGAAATATGAAGGGTGATATCATAAATAAATTAGGGGAGTAGGGAAGAAATTACCTTACTGATCTATGGATAGGGGAAGAGTTCATGACCAAAGGATAGAGAGGATCACAGAAGATAAAAAGGACGATTAAGATTATATAAAATTGAAGTTTCTGCACAAACAGAAAACCAATGCAGCTAAAATTAGAAGAGAAGCAGGTAACTGGGGGAAAAAAATCTGTGGCAAGTTTCTCTGATAAAGATCTCTTTTCCAAGTTATATGAGCAATGGATTCAAATATATAAGAATCAGAGCCATTCCTCAACTGAAAAATAGTAAAAGAATGTGAACAGGCAGTTTTCAGAGGAAGAAATCCAATATGTTCAGAGCCATAGGAAAGAAAAATGTTCCAAATCACTAATAATTATTGTTGTTTTTCAGTAATTTTCATTCATGTTTGACTCTTCATGAACACTTTCGGGGGTTTCTTGGCAAAGATACTGGAGCAGTTTGCCATTTCCTTCTTGAGTTCATTTTATAGATGAGGAAACTGAGGAAAACAGGGTTAAATGACTGGCCCAAGGTCATACAGCTAGTAAGTGTCTGAAGCTGGATTTGAACTCAGATACAGGTCCAGCACTCTATATACTATACCATCTAGCTGTCCTCACTAATAATAAGAGAAATGCAAATTGAAGCAACTCTCAGGTTATACTTTACATTTATCAGATTGTTACAGTTGACAAAAGAGGAATATGACAAATGTTGGTTACAGGAAAACAGAATATTAATGTACTGTTGGTGGGGCTGTGAACTGCTCTAGCCATTTTGAAAAGACATTTGGAACTATTCCCTCAATATTATTAAATTGTCCATCCCCTTTGATCCAGTGATATCACTACTAGGTGTGTAGCTCAAAGAGATCAGGGAAAGAGGAAAGGAAGCCATATGTGCAAAAATATTTTAGCTATTCTTTGTAGTGGCAAAGAATTGGAAATTGAGGAGATGCCTATAAACTAGGGAATGGCTTAAACAGTTATGGTATATAAATAGTACACGAATACTATTGTGCTGTAGAAATGAGGAAGATTATGGTTTCAGAGAAACCTAGAAGATCTGTATGAATGGATATAGAATGAAGTATGCAGAACCAGGAAAACAATTTATATAATAACTACATTGTTTAGAGATGACAAGTAACTCTGAAAGTTTTCATTTTATTTGTCTGTTTTTAAAAGTGTTTATTATCTCTCCCTCCCATTCCCTCTATCCTGCCCAACAGAATAATAAAAAACAAAAACAACAAAACAAAACCCTGCTGTTAAGTACACACAGTCTAGCAGAACAAATTTCTACACCATCTATGTCCAAATATATATGTTTCTTTCTAGATTTTAAGTTCATCACCTGTCTGGAAGGAGATTGGTAGTATGGTTCATCTTTGGTCCTCTAGAATGAACTCTGAAAGACTTAAGAACTCTGCTCAACACAATGACCAACCATAATTCAGAGGATCCAAGATGAACTATGCTACCCACCTCCTGACAGAAAGGTGATGGATTCAAGGTGCAGATTGAAACATATTTCTTGGACAAGGCTGATTTGGGGATTTGCTTCGTTTTGCTTGACTAAGCCTGTTTGAAGGGTTTTGTTTCCTTTTATTTTTAAATGGAGGAGGTGAGAGGGTAAGAAAATAGATATTTTTTGTTAATTTTAAACATTTTAATTGAATATATGTATATATACATGTATACCTGTGCACATATGTATATGTCTCTCTGTGAACATGTATGTTTTTATCTCTCTCTCCTCCAGAGAATGATTCCATGTAACAAATTAAAAAGAGAAATACAAGCAATTCAGCAAAAATTAACCTATACTTCAAGTCTGATAGTATATCCAATGTTCCATACCCATAGTGCCTGGCCTTTGCAAAGAATGAAAGGAGACGTAGTTTTGTATTTCTTCTGGCGGGGGGTGGGTGTGTCAACATTGCTGTTCGTTCTCACTTCCTATACAGTTTGGCCAAAGTAGGACTCTCAATCAGATACCTCACACACTCATTCAGAGGATAGCTCTAATATCAGAAATTCAGCTGACTGAATGGTGCTGCTCCACCAAGAATGTTCAGACTTAACATTGTAACAGACATAAACAGAGCCACCAGATGAGTAAAATGCAGTATTCAAAGGGACTACTTGAGTACTGTCTCCAACAGAACATTAATTAGTTAACAACAGCCTGGTAAAACCATTTAGTTGGTAATCACTGACCTGTGCAGCACATGTCCGTAACAACCCTACTAATGCAAAGGTAAACGTATCTTTAGATATAGGACAAATGGACCACTTCTCTGGACTGAAAAGCACCCGGTATCTTTACAATGCCACAGAGGAGGTACTGTCATTGTTTTATTGTAAAATGATCTTGTTATGTTGATAGTCTTCCAACAAGTGAGGGGTGTGTGTGTGTGTGTGTGTGTGTGTGTGTGTGTGTGTGTGTGTGCATGTATGTAACAGATACATCTCTTTTCAAGTATCCAATAAATACTTCTTTGACTCAAAGGTAGGCCCACTTCTTACTTTTCACATAAGAAACCTAAATAAGAGCTAATAATACTATTTCCTTAATTATATAATATATACAAAGATGTCTAAAATAGTGCTTATGCATTTACTAGCTGTGTGACCCTGGGCAAGTCATTTAACCCTTTTTGCCCTAGTTTCCTCCTTTGTAAAGTGAGCGGGAGAAGGAAATGACAAACCATTCCAGTATCTTGCCAAGAAAAGCCTAAATGGAGTCATGAAGTCAATCACAACTGAAAATGACTGAACAACAACAAAGGAATACCTTAATATTTGCTGATTCTTTGGTCAAATAATGATTAAGACATTGAGAAAGTTAAGAGTTGATTTCTTCTTTTTTATTTTTGGAGACAATTGGGGTTAAGTGACTTGCCCAGGGTCACACAGCTAGTTGGTGTCAAGTGTCTGAGGCCAGATTTGAACTCAGGTCCTCCTGACTCCAAGGCTGGAAGCTTTATCCACTGAGCCTCTAGCTGCCCCAAGAGTTGATTTCTAAACAAACCAAAATGCTATAATTTTGTAGGTCTATTTCTTTACTTACCTAGTGATCAAATCCAGATATAAGGATATGCTTCTTCTTACTCACTAGAATAGGTAGAGTCTGAAATAACAATAGAAAATGAGATTTCACCTTTGAACGAATGCTACTAGAAAAAAAAGATTAATAATCTCTACTATATAACAGCAAGGCTGATAAAGACTTTTTATATTACTTTTACATAAATACATTTCTGAAAGGAAAACTTTTAATCAGGGGTGTTGTAGATGAGATGAGATGATATAAAGCAAATAAATACATATATTTAATTGGCCCTGCCAACTGAGTCTCAAAAAGACTCAGAAACTCATTAAAACAGTGATCAGTTCTATTTCCAGAAGACCAGTGATGAAGCATGCTACATAACCAGACAGAGAAGTGATGAACTAAAAGGGCAGAAAGAGATATATATATATGTAGATATATATATATCTATACATATATATATATATATTTATTTATTTATTTCAGGAATAGCTGATTCAGGAATTTTTAAAAAAATTTTGTTTGATTATGAGTCTTTCTTACAAGGATTGTGTTTTTCTATTTTTTTTTCCAATGGTGGAAAGAAGAGGTGGGGAAAGTATATTTTTGTTAATTAAAACAAATTAAAATTTAAAAACAATACCAAATAACAAAAGCAAATGTGGCACCTATTTTTAGAGTTCATCTAAAAGCATTTAAACAGACTGTAATTTCTGGAAAGCAGTCTGAGAGAAATGAGCCTTATGCCAAAATTTCAAACAGCACTTGGCCTTTTGGCTAAGGGCAGGTGTTTTTGAAGCTATAAATAAGGCCAATTGGTCAAATGATCAACTCAGAGGTTTATCATTTGTGATAATGTCTCTCTTTCCTCTTTCAGTCATGTCATAGCTTGAACTTGTAACATTAATTGAAAAAATGCTCTCACTTCTCTTTTTGGCCTTGTAACATTCATTGATAAACTGTCATGCAAAATCTCAAACAGTATAGCACAGTGATCTCCATGTGGATACATGACCTATATATAAAGGTCAAATAAACAAATTAGAAAAGTAGGGAAGTACATACCTTTTGCTACCATAAATGAGAGAGACAGAGAATATAACAGAAGATAAAATAGATAATTTTGATTACATAAAATTAAAAAGCTTTTACACAAACAAAATCAAATCAGAATTAGAAAAGTTAATTGGGAAAAAAAACCTTTTCAATAAATTTCTCTGATATGGGTCTAATAACCAAGATATATATGGAACTGATTAAAAAATATATATAAACAAAAGTCATTCCTCAATAGCTAAATGCTGAAAGGTGAATTCTTAAAAGATATGTAAGGTATCAACAATCACATGAAAAATACTATAAATCACTATCAAAACAACTTTGATTTTTTTACTTTATATCTATTAGATTGGCATAGATGATAAGGAAAAAGACAGTTATTGGCGGGGTGGTGGGAGGCACGTTGACATATTGTTGGCAGACCCATAGAGTGAGACAGCTGTTCTGGAAAACAATTTGGAATTATAACCAAAAAGTCACTAATCTGTACACATCCTTTGACCTAGTGATACCACAATTCCAAACAGATCAAAAACAAATGGAAAATAATCAGTATGTATAAAAATATCTATGGCAGCACTTATTTTGTTTTAGTAAAGAACTAGAAGCAAAGTGAATGTCCATCAATTAGAGGATGGCTGAATTATAGTATATGAATATAACAGAATATAATTGTGCCATAAAAATCATGAAAGGGCCCAGTTTCACAGAAACCTGGGAATACTTGTGTGAACTGAGACAGAGTTAAGTAAGCAAAACCAGGACAATAATTTATACATTAATTACAACTTTCAAAGACTTAAGAACTCTGATCAATGCAATGACTAACCCGGAAGATAGATAATGAAGCATGTTGCCCATTTGCTGGCAGAGAAGTGAAGTGACTGGAGGTCTATAGAATGAATAATACAGTCAATACAACATAAATCTATTTTTCTTGATTATCCCTTCTGTTATAAGAGAGGGCTTTTATTCAGGTACAGAGAAGTGTTTTTGGTGGAAATTGAGGATAGAGACTAATAAAAAAGGCTACCAATGAAACATAAATATATAAAGAAGAGAACAGAAGCAAGTTCAGAAGGGGAAGCAGAAAGGTAGCACCCAGTTAAAATTGATGTTTAGTTAAAAAAAAAAAGCCTAAGCTATACATGGTAGATTCCTATACAATCCTCTTTTTCTACCCTTTGCATTTTGAAGTGTTCATCTTTTTAATGATTGTCAAGTTAATTAAAATACACACACACACACACACACACATATATATTTTTTAAAAAGATGTTAATGTCCAATTTTGTTTACTCACCTCTTCTCAACCTCTATATCATTTGGTCATGGAATGCATCAGGAGAGGTTCTGTGTTGATGATATAAGTAAATCATTAGATCATAGACTTTGAGCTAGAAGGGACCTCAGAAGCCATCTAATGCAATCCCTTTATTTTACAGTGAGGAAATTGAGGTCCAGTGAGATTAAGTGACTTGACTAAAGTCACATAACAATCATAAGAGGTAAGATTTAAACCCATGTCCTCTGACTACAATTAAGGTTCTTTTCCACTGTTCCACATCTCTATATTTAAGTATACGCATGAAAGGAATTGTATAAATACTATTATTACCATTAAATTTTACTTTCAACAAATGACTCATAATGTAAACTAAGGAAAATTTCACCAAAAACATTTTAACAAGGTCCCTCATTTAGAAGTATAAATTAACAAAATAATGTTGATGTTAATAATATTACGATTGTAGGTTCTCATGGTTGTTACTGAAACGAGTTTCATGCAACAGTATACTAATGTGCCCTGCTTAAAGAAAAAAATCTAAGTATAAAATTTCAAAACTTACAGATCTATTAAGGGATGATTATTTACTAACCAAGAATAAATTTGCAATGTTTTTCAAATACATTTTGCTAATACTCTTTGTAATTATGAATTAACGAGGTTCCTTTAATTGTACACACCTAAATCAACCGTGGCTGTTTCTATGATGTAAAACTAGCACATAGAAGAGCAGTAGGATTTGGAAGGTAGCTACTGTAAAATATCTAAGTCAGTTCTCCAAACTGTGGAGTGTGCCCCCTTTTGCAGGCTGGGGCAAAGAGGCAGTGGGGAAGAGAGGATGCAAGATACTGAGAGGCATGAAGCCTTGGCCAAAACTGTTGGATATTTCTTAGTACAGCTCCCACATAAATATGTGCATTGTTTTCAATGAAAACAAAGTTCAAATCAAAGACAACAAAAGCGAGATTAACACTGAGAATTTGTTCTGACAGTGAATGCAGTGCAGTGATTATTTAATATGGTATTTGCAAACAAGGTCAAATTTGAGCAAGGGGAGGAGGCACAATCTGTCACTATCAAAATCTGTCAGCATATGTTCATGACAAATGAATTGCTTGCTGTCCTTGAGTGTGAGGGATATAAATTCAAAATTAAACCTTCTTTGTGTGGAAGTTTAAAGTACCACAATATCTGCTGTATTTCTCATTATTACTCATTTTGGTAAGCACAATATGTTAGCTTGGTCTCAAAAAACCCTTAAAAAAACACCTTAGGTTTTAAAAAATGGGGAATAATTCAAGAACGAGAATATAGATAATCATTTGGAATTTTCAACAATTAAATTGTCCTTAATTTTTCCTAAAGAGAAATAGCCCTTTGTGATAGGCAAATACATGACCAATTTGAAAAAGTCCACTGAAATAGCTAAAACTGGTACAAAGAAAACAGAGACCATTTAATTGGGGAAATACAGAAACATAAAGTGTACATGTAGATTAAGATGGCAAGATAATTTTTCCAAAGAAAATTAGATGCTTTGAACAAGTGAAACAAATGTCTTAAAAAGCCACCTCAGTGACATCAAAAGGATGCCTCATATCATATAAGGTTTCTTGTAGAAGTGATAAATGTAAAAAAGCCTCATTCCTTGGGAGAAATATTGGTTACTACATGTAACTATTGATATGGTCAAACTGGTACTTAGTGAATCATAAATAAAACAGCTTTGAATGGTTCCATGTGTAGATTAATGTGATGGGAACAAAAACTGCCTGTGTCTGATGACTTTATAATCAATTGAGAAATTAAAGTCTTTATATTTCATACTGCAAGTAGTTAAAGAAACCGTTGACATAGTTAAAATGCAAACCTATTGAGTACAATATGGTATAATGAACAGCTTACTGGGATCAGGGTCATGAAGGCCTGGTTCAATTGCCATCTCAGAAACTTACAAGCTATGTGACTGTGGGCAAGTTACTTGTTTCGTGTCTCAGTTTCCTCATCTATAATGAAAGGGTTGAACTGCATGTCCTCTGAGGTGCTTTCAAAGTACCTTTATTGTAAGATACACCGTTTCTTTGAGGCCCTTTTCATAAGGAACTGTTAATAATGAAAAAGGCAGAAAACATTGTTTTTGTTTTTTAACAAAAGAAAATATTTAGATTAATTGTTAAAGGTTGTGAGCCAGTTTAACACTGCCAATGTTATGGATGAATATCTTGATGCTACATATGTGTAGTACTGTACTTTATTTTCATGTACACTGATGAATATATATGTAAGAAAAAACTTTCACATGAGTTCTGGATCATTTTGGAGGTTATAATGTAGGGCAGAAGACTCAGAACTTGTAAACAATGTGGAGTGATGCCTTGCTTGTAGAAACATGTGTTACAAAAAGGCAGAGAAATAGCTTTGATTTATTAAAAATGAGAGTATGAAGAAAACCATTTCAAGGATATACTTCAAAGAGCTGCAAAGCATGATAATGTAATGGTAGCTAATTTGCATCTGCATATTTTATAGCTAAAGAGATTAAAACAACAAAATGAGAAATATAAACATTTGGAGACTGGGCTTTGATTTTAAGACTATCAATTCGGTAGGAAAAAACTGGGGAGTTGTGACTTTTTAAGCAAAAAGTAAGCCCTTTGAGAATCAGAAGGCTATCACTTAAGCCACTAAAGACAATCATAGCAAGAACAAGATTGTCACACAAGAAAGCAGCAGAAGAGGAACCTGAGTTGAAGATGCAACAGGTGGAGCCAAAAAGCGGATCATTTTGGGCTGGGGCAGTTAGAGAACTGGAGAACTTCAGCTGGGTGATTCCTTATTGATCAAAGAGAAAAGACCTCACTGTCCAAGAGTTCCTGTGAAAGCTTTTGCCACCTGGAGCTGCAGAACCATGAAGTTTTTCACAAGGCCTTGTTGCTCTCTGCTGCCACCTCTGGCTTGAGAAGGAAGAGCAGAAAGGATTTTGCATCTGGTATCCTAGTGAGATGTCTTAAATAATGATTTTTTAATTGTATCAGTTCCTGACACTAACACTGATTGGACAGTGCAGCATCCAGGTGAAGAATTAACTAGCTGAGATGATCTGTATATCCCAGAGATCACCAGTTTTATGAGGTTCACAATTCTTTAGCTTAAAGAAAACTGCCATTCATATTTGGTACTAACTCTCTCTAAACTCCCTATTAAGGGTGATGTTAATTGAAAGAACTGATAAAGGCTATATATGTTAAGTAGAGAAGAGGATTTCCCTAGTTGAAGAGGGGTGAGGATCAACATTTAAGCAGTGAGCAGAGAAGCAGTTTCATGCAACATAGGTGTTCCAAAAAAAAGACCAATACCATTGAAGCCCGCTGTCTAGAATTGTGTTATTCTCAATATGAATTGTCTTCCGTATATATCTCTATGCCAGGTTCCTTACAAGTGCATGTCCACTCTTCACCATCCTCTGGTGGAAGAATATGATCTTAGTTTATGTGTGCATCATTACATCTCATTATTTATGTATTTATTAGTATTCATATTCTTATTTCATTTATTTTATTATTATATAAATGGCAATGTATAAGATCCAAGTGTCATTATTGTGTCTGGTTGTACAAACGGAAAAATAATTGGATGTGGCTCAAGAGCTAGAATAGTGAGTATTGGCTATGAATTTCCCCTAACAGGATTACCTTTAGGACCCTGTGAGAATTTGAATGTAACTGCGTGGTGTTGGCATTATCTCTGGGAACTTCAGACATGCTAATGTGACAGTAGGTTGGATAAGTGAGCCCAGTGCTAGAGAAGTGGAGTGTCTCACACACCTAAGAGTGAGAGTTCCTACATGTGACATTGTGTGGGGTGTTCACATTCCACTTTGTAAGCTCTTGAACATATATTTGTCGGTTATACTCTGAGAGCATTGGAGGATAGTGACCGATTTTTTTTTCATTATACTATAATGCTCTGATCTACAGCAATGCCATGTCAAGAGAAAACTTCAATATAAATGACAGGCTTTTTAAAATGATGTCAGATGGGAAAACTGTACTTGACCTTGCATTAAAAGAGCTTAGTCAATTTCAGAACAAATCACAGGTCTAAAAACACTAGTTAAAAATATGGTTCCTTGTACAATTTGGACACATTGAAAGCATAATGCTCTTCTAATAAGAAATATGATTAAGGGGACACATAGGTTTTCAAGTTGTTATAAGAGTAATCAATTTTATTTAAAATGGTCCATTAAAAGCAAGGCTCTTTGCAAAATTATGTGAAGATACTGAAGCAGAGCACAGGACACTGTCATATTTGTGGAACACTTGCTGGCTTTCTCCTGTTGTACTGGGCTAATAGCCAGGTCCTGCTGTGAACCCCTCTAAGCCCAGTTGTTTACACAGAATTGGAATACGGAAGTACCCCTAGGGCAGCAGCACCATGGAAAATTAACTATGTAAAAGAAAAAAGATTGTAAAATAGGGGAGACTCCAGAGACATAATGCCCCTGTGTTTTTGACAATTGCCTCAGCAATCTCTAAACTGATGTGGCATCTAGCATTTAGAAGACAAAAGTGATCTTGGGGGATGTAGAAGTTGTTGACTTGTCAAGACCCTCACAATTTTACACAAGCTGTTGCAACAGAAACCAAGTAGCAGGATGAAGGCAGCGGGACACCATGAACTGAACCAATAAATGGAAAAGAGCTTATTTCTTCCCCTTCTCTTTTGGGTCCACAGCACTGAGAAATGAACCTGGGGTTCTGTTTGTCAGGAAATGAAGCCATTTTGACCTCAGAGCTAGGATTCCAGGTAGAATATTGCAGCCAGCCAGCCCAACAGAGAAGCCAAGAGGATACTTGGGATTTGAGCCCAATGAAGGATTTTGGACTTGGAGCTTGGAACTAAGTTATAAAGGAAATGATCCAAACTATAAACTTAATTCCCTTGCCCTCCCCAGAATACAAGATGGTACAGGGGGAGATTATACTTCCCCCTCCCACTGGGAGAGTATGTTTGTAGATTTGATATTATACCTTTGAAGTAAATATTCCTTTGTAAAAACTAA